CCCACCCCCACCCCCTTGGGGCTTTCTTTTAAAGTCTTTCGTTTTTTTTTTAGAGGGGGGAATGTAGAGAGACCAGTAGGGGGCGCACCAAGCCTGTGCGTAAACCCCCGATGGGAAAGTTCAGGGCGCCCTTCCAGGCGTTTTGTGTGTTTCAAAACAACTTTTCCGGTTGTGGATATGCCCTGTGTGTGTGTGCGTTAAGTGCGACCCGATTGGGAATTCTTAAACGTCCGCAATACTTTCGGAGATCTGAGGGGCGTCGCCATGCTCCCAAAATGAAAGAAAAATAAAGGGAAATCCCAAACCCATTTTCTATTCATATTTTACCTCCCGTGTGTTTGAAGCTTGAAACAAAGTTCGCAGAGCTAAAAAAAAGATGCATGAAAACTATGGAATTGTGTAAGCTTTAGCAGGTGCTATCAGCTACTTTAACGTGGTGGGGGGGAAAATTCCTTCCCATGGAGATGCACGCTAAAAAAAAAAAAAGGCAAGAAAAAAATTTAGCGGGGGGAGGGGGGGGGACTGGGGGCAAAGGGGGAAAAAAAAAAACCTTTCTTTTTCCTGATTTCAGAATAAAATGTGCCGGCAAATAAATCCAGCTATGTTTTGCCTTTTTGAGGGCTGAATAGAGAACCAAGACGGGAATCCTGCATGTTTAAGCACTTTATATAGCAAATATGGCAGAATATTTCTCTTTTTGTCGCTCTTTCCACCCCCACCCCCTTCCTTCTTTCCCTTCTTTGTATTTAAGTGCGTTTTAACCACAAAGATCTCAGCACAAGAGCCGTGGAATAAACTTTGTTTAGCAGCTTGTACTGACAGCAAGAATAACAAAACTACCTATTTGTAACGGTTGTGCTGTCCCGGGCTCTCACCTCTTGAACCCTTCCCGCCCCCCCATACATCTCTCGTTGCAAAGAAGAGACTCAGCCGGGAACAGGATGCGCGTTCCCGCTCGCGCGTCCTCGTTTCCCCGGAGCATCTCCGAATTGCCTCCCCAAATCTCGGCGGCGTTCCACTTCTCCCTCGCCTTTCTCTGCCTGTTCTTATTGTACCTGCGCACCTGCTTCCCAAGCCTT